CTGTGGCAGAATCAATTATACGTCAAGAAAGAAAAATGTGTCTTCGCACAAACATGTATCAACTTACTTGGACATGTCATAAGTTGTGGACAAATTGATATGAATAGCAATAAGATAAAAGCTATCCAAGAATAGAAAATTCCTACTTCCGTATCCGATGTGCGATCCTTCATAGGATTGGCAAACTACTATAGGCGGTTCGTCGAAGGGTTTTCACGACGAGCCGCCCCATTAATAAAACTCCTGAAGAAAGACAACCCTTGGTCGTGGTCAAATGAATGTCAAACGACCTTTGAAGATCTGAAGGCAACCATGATGAGGGGTTCTGTCCTCGGATTAGTAGATGTTACTAAATCATTTGAAATAGAGACAGATGCTTCCGACTTTGCCTTAGGCGGTGTCCTTATTCAAGAAGGCCACCACATCGCTTATGACAGTCGAAAGCTCAATGATGTTGAAAGGAGGTACACTGTCTCCGAAAAAGAAATGTTGACTGTGGTCCATTGCCTACGAGTCTGGAGACAGTACCTCTTGGGATCACAGTAACTAGTGAAGACATATAACAACATCATTTGCCATTTCTTCGATCAACTAAAATTGACGGCAAAACAAGCTTGGTGGCAGGAGTTGTTGGCTGAATTTGACTACAAATTTGAACACAAGGCAGGAAAGAGTAACCAAGCAGTCGACGCGCTGAGTCGGAAGGGCGAACATGCGACCCTGTGCACGACATCATGAAATAACATTTACATAAAAACCCATCAGCCAAAGCCGTCGTCAAACTACCTAAAGTCGGGAAGACATGACAGTTTTGGGTCAAGGGAGACCTTCTAATGACAAAAGAAAACAGATCATACGTCCCAAGAATGGGAGAACTGAGAAAGAAGCTCATTCAGGAATGTCATGATACTTTATGGGTCGGACACCCTTGGTGTCAAAGAACATATGCCCTAATAAAAAAGGGGTACTTCTGGCCAAATATGCGAGACATCGTGCAGTACACCAAGACGTGTCTCATCTACCAACAGGACAAAGTCAAGAAAGTCAAAGTCTTGGGACTCTTGGAACCTCTACCTGTGCCAACAAGGCCTTGGGAAAGTGTGTATCTAGACTTCATAACACACCTCCTAAAAGTCGGGGAATATGATGTCATCTTGGTTATCGTAGACCGATTCTTGAAACACATGATGTTCGTCCCCACTTCCAAATTATGCTCGGCTAAACTAATAACCCAACTCTTAACACATTGTAAAGTTATGGGACATTCCGTCGAGCATCATCAACGATAGGGATGGTAGATTCATTGGCACATTCTGGACCGAGTTATTCGCCTTCTTGGGAACGACTCTAAACATCTTATCAAGCTATCATCCTTAAACCGATGGATAGACGGAACGGTTCATCTGATTGCTCGAAGAATACTTAGGTCACTTCGTCGACACTCGCCAGAAGAACTAGATACAACTGCTAGATGTCGCCCAATTCTGTTTCAATTGTCAAACAAGTTCGTCTACGGGAAAGAGCCCCTTCAAAATTGTAAGTGGATGATAGACGACCTTGCCCCATATTATTGATCATCCTTATGAAGGAAAAAACCTTCAAGCTCAAAACTTCACAAGAGAATGGAAGCAGACAACAGATATAGCCGGGACATATTTGGAGAAAGCTTCCAAGCATATGAAGAAGTGGGCAGACAAGAAGCGTCGCCCCCTCTAATTCCGAGCAAGAGATCAAGTCCTCATCAAGTTGAGACCAGAACATATCAGATTCCGCAGCCGAAAGGACCAAAGACTAGTTCAAAAATATGAAGGCCCGATTGAAGTCCTTAAAAAGATCGGGGGCTATCTCCTATAGAGTTGCGCTACCCACATGGATGAAAATTCACCCAGTAATTCATTTGAGCAACTTGAAGCCCTATCACCCTGACCCAGACAACAACCAGCGAAATGTAATCATTAGACCGAGCATCGACCTGAAACAAAGAGAGACCAAAGAAATAGAGGAGATCCTAGCCGACAGGATTAGGAAGATAGGAAGACCTATACGGAAGATTCGTGAATTCCTTGTCAAATGGAAGAATCTCCCTACGGAGGAAACCAGCTGGGAACGCGCCGAAGATCTGGACTCCATCGCCAGGTTTGAAAGTAGTCGGTTGACAGAGACGTCAACCAATTAGGTGGGGGAGGATGTCACGGTCATGCTCGTCCAAGGCGTGTTGCCCATGACCGCATGCCCATGACAAGTCAAACCCTTTATAGGAAGTATGACGTTTTGGAAAAATCATGTCTAGGCCTGCCAGACATGAAATGCCTTAGAATGTACTATACGGGGATATGACTAGTTGTCAACTTCTCCCTACCTAAGGTTATATACTGTGAGCTGTTGTTGTTACTCTCTTACTTGCTTATATAACGTCTCTTTTAAAAATCTCTCTCTGCCCTCATTTTCTAAAACCTTCTCTTAAACTGAGGCTAGAGGTTCGAGCATACGTCGCTTGGCCGTAGGTGACGCAAGAATGAATTGGTTTATCTCACTTGTCGTTGGAAAGTGAGTGTCGCACAATCGCAAGTCCGCTGCCATCAAGAGTGTGATTGTGACACTCGCATGCAACGGCAACTAATGACGCCCTACTCCCCCTAACAGAACGGGGTAGTGGAATGCCAAAATCAGACCATCGTCGGGATAGCAAGGTCATTGCTGATGACAGCTGGGATGCCCAGGAGGTTCTGTGGAGAGGCGATAATAACGGCCGTCTACCTCCTCAATCAGTCGTTAACGCGAAGCCTCGACGGGAAGACGTCACACGAGGCCTGGTACAACAAGAAGCCAGCGGTACGTCATCTCTAAGTGCTTGGTTGCGTCGCATACATGAAGGACGTGCATCCCTACCTCGCCAAGCTCGACCCTAGAGGGCTGAAGGTCGTCTTCATCGGCTACGAACCCGAAAACAAGGCATACAAGTTCTATGATCCTGTGGAGAGGCGAGCTCACGTGTCGCACGACATCATCTTTGACGAGACCACCTTCTGGCAGTGGAAGGACGTGTCCGAAGCAGACCAAAACCCAATTCAATTCAGGGTAGAGTACCTCGTCACCGAGCCGAGAGAAGGAGAAGCACAGCATCGGGAATCGTCACCGCTGCCAGTAGCTGCACTGGGCACGCCTATGCCAACCCCAACCATAACTCCAGTTGCACCCCCTCAACTAGTGAAGTTCGCAACACCACGTACTGCAGATTCGATGCTAGATGCCGATCACGATGATGGTCTGGTGGCCAGGTACCGGAGGATGGAAGACCTACTAGGAAGAGGTGAACCACCTGGACTGGCAGCGCGCCAACTCGAAGAAGAGGTGGCCGAACAAGACATGGAGTCTGGAGGACATGCCACTAGGCACACCGAGCCATAGGGCTCGAATCAGATTTCAAACAAAAGAAGGTAGATATACGATAGGGCTTTAGGAAGAGATTGTTAGATAAATCTCTACAAGTGAATGTGATCCCTAATTTTTAGTTAACTCTTTTCTTGTTAGGTAACTATTTGATGTTAAACCCACACAATTCAAGTAGGTGGGAAACCCACACAATTCAAGTAGGTGGGAAGTACACCGTACAATGGAGAGCATTATTAAGTTAAGTTGTCATTTACTTCTTCTATTTTTAGGATAATTTGTTATTTAAATATCCCAACTGAATCTGAGATATCGGGTCTTCATAAGTCAACAATGATATCGAGATAATCGTTTATTGAGTATAGATTTCGGCCGTTTTTTACTCCGTCGACGTTTTCCTCTCAATTGTCAGAAGTCAACAGTGATATCAAGATGATCGTTTATTGAGTATAGATTTCAAATCTCTGTTTGAATCTTGTCGCATCTACGAAATGGATTGATGTTAGAATTCTCACCCTACTCAACGTTGAACTTAAAAAATATGATAAAGACGTTCTATTTGGAAAATATCAATTCCGTTTGTTTGGAAACAAAAAAATAAATAAATAAAATACTATATTTGTGTGAAATATTGGATTCATAAAAATAACAATATTGAATTAACATTTGGATTCTAATATATAATATATTAATTTCTACCATTAATTTTCTATCAATATCAAAACTTAATTTATTTGATTTTTTTAGTCAATTAAAAACCTAACATATAATACCATAATTGTGAAATCTTGGGATCAGTTAGATAACGAACAATATCGTTATCTATTAGCAGTAGACTTGAGATATCACAAATGGGATCATAGTCAAATACCGAGCAATGTACCAATTGAACCTCAAAGGGAGTAGATTGCGAGATCTCACATTGGTTGGAGAGAAGAACGAAACATTCCTAAAGGGTGTGAAAACCTCTCCCTATCAAATGCGTTTCAAAACCGTGAGACTAACAACGATACGAAACAGGCCACTATGACAATATTTGTTAGCAGTGGGTTTGAGCTATTAAAACAATTACGATGGTCAGACACTGAATCATCAACGTTTAAAATAGTAATTAGGGATTTATCTATCGAATTTCACTCAGATTTATCAAAATCTTTATATAAACATCCTTCGAGTAAATTAACGAAGGTAGTTTATTGCATATTTATAGAATTTCTTGAATTTCATAAGAAATCCTCCGTTTACCTCACTAATTAATATGGATTCTCACAACTCTCTCTTGTTCCTTGGGGCTCAACGTCTTTGTTGACACACTTTCTTGTGTCAGTCAATATCATTTGTAACTGCCCAAAACCACCGCTAGCGAATATTATTCACTGTAGCTCATTATGTATTGTCGTCAGCCTAACTGTTTTAAAACGCATCTGCTAAGAAGTTTTCATACCTTTATAAAGAATGTTCCGTTCCCTCCAATGTGGGATCTCACATAGTTCTCACCAAAATTGCATATTTTGGAAGATTTTGAAACTTCAAAGCAAGTTATTTAGCATAATGGGCAAACTTTAACAGTGGACTCTATTGAAATTGGTCGGGTGGAACACTGAATACTGTTAAAGTTGATACAGTGAAGTTATTTACTCGCTATTTTATAATGTATGTAGATCAAACCGAGAGTAAAGTATTTTAGCTCACCCCAACGACCACCGAACTTCGAGATGGTCGGCCAAAACGTTCAAACCAAATATTATGTGATAAAAAGGTGAGATTTGATACTAAATCACCAGAGGTTTTTGTTGATATGATCAAATTGCAGATTGCAACCTGTAACAACAACACCAAACTTGTTCATCTAAACGGAGAAAAACAGGAGAATTAGAATTAGAACATGCAAATGCACCATGAAAAGTGGATGGATAATAACTTCTGATGAGTTTGCTATCACCTGTACAGTATGGAGCATACTACGACGACAGAATTAGCTAACACAGTGAAGCGAAGATTGCTGGCGTTGCAGCGGTTGTGCAGTCACGTCTTGTCTCGTCTCGTCCTGTATGTTAACCTGATGTGGATGGGTCCATACAAGAATGAACTAAGCAAAAGAATAATACATCTAAAACTCTTTATACAATAAAACATTCAGACATCGACTGAACTTCTTAGGGAAAATACTGGAAAAACAATTTGTTGGTTACGGTACCTGCATGGGTCCAGCAGCCTTCAATGGTCCACCAACTCCTGCAACTCCCCCTCCTATGATATGGCCATCAGAACTCAACAAACATACGCTAAGACCAGACCACCGGTCTTTCCTCCATGTCAGCTCGTACATAAGATCCACATAACAAAACAATCTCGAAACGGTAGTAACATTAAATTGCAAATAGTTATAATAATGCATTCATAAGCAAACTTCGGGAAGGAAAAAAACAGACATCATCATCCAAATGAGTAGCCAGTTAAAATGTATACCTTCATTCCACCCTGCAATTTGGAAATGATCTCACTTAAAATCATGTCATATATTGCTAATAAAACACTAGATTTGTAGAATATTATTTCAAATCCGCCTCTCAAAGTTATGATACCCAAGTAAAAAAAAGCACACAAATGACAAGATAAGACCATATTTGTATGAAAGTGATTGAGACAGACTAAAAAAGAACCGAAGTTACTACATATACCAACAAGGTGCACGTTCCCTTCCTTGTCAGTGGCTTAATAAAAAAAAAAAACTTCCAAATTAAGCGTTCCCTTCCTTGTCAGTGCTTCTCCATGCTCTGTTTGGAATAGTGAATATCAACATTAATACCAAAATGTATTGAGACCAAGAATGTCAGTGATGTCAACAAAGTATCAACAAGCAAATGAGTAGTGTTCACCAAAGCCCTGCTTGGTTTGGGCCTCAAAACTAGAATGGAGAACAAACCCACGAGAAAATTAGCTCATTTTTCATCAGCCCAAGCCCACTCCTATATTGTCTACTCTTGCTCGTTACATATCGTCGTCAGCCTCACAGTTTTGAAATGTGTCTACTAGGGAGAAGTTTTCACACCCTTATAAGGAAGTTTTGTTCCCTTCTCCAACTGATGTGGGATCTCACAATCCACCCCCTTGGGACCCAGTCTCCTCGCTAGCACATCGCCCGATATGTGGCTTTGATACCATTTATAACAAACCAAGTCCACCGCTAGCTAATATTGTCCGTTTTGACCGGTTGCACATTACCATCATCCTCACGGTTTTAAAATGCATCTACAATGGAGAAGGTCTAGACAGTGCTTCGAACCGTCCAATAACTGTCTCTGATACCATTTGTAACAACCCAAGCCCACCGCTAGTAGATGTTGTTTGCTTTGGCCCATTACATATCATTGTTAGCCTCACAGTTTTAAAACGTGCTTACTAGGAATATGTTTCCACACTCTTATAAGGAATGCTTTGTTTCCCTCTACAACCGAGGCGGGATCTCATAATTTGGCTACTCTAACTATACGTGATGTTATTGAACACAGTGAAATAACTATCTACACAACTCAACGACACTTGTTTAAGTAAGGTCGTCAATCAAATCACTATCATGTTCCACCAGACAAGACTAATACATAGAAGCAAGATTTCAAAGACAATGATTCCAACATGTTTTGAAGCCCTTATAGATAAGAATCATTAGAAGATGCATGAAAAATTGGCCAAGGTAACATGCAAATTTGGAAATCATTACCTACGGGAATGAATGTAAAATCTGCTATTCTTTTCTCTATGTTGCTGACAATTTTGTTCTGCTCTCTATTCAGAAACATCCCGGAACTGGTGCGCGTCCTGCGGACATGACATTGTAAGCCCCACCAACGTTAGTTCATAGTCAGGATTGTCAAATTCTATTGATGACAAAAATGAAAATGACACATACAGACCTGCTATCTTTAATCTTGCCAGTTTTTACATCAACCACAGTTGATTTTTTCATGTAAGGTTTTGCAAGACTAATCAAATACAAGCATTCTTCCTTGGACTGTCCAGAATCATTCATATCAGCAAGCATTTCAACCAAAAACATGACAAAAACCAAACAAAAAGCCAAAAGGAATCCAAAATTCTAAGAACTTACCAAGAAATTGTGATAAACGAAAGCCCTAGGCTCCCATGAAATGAACTCAACCCACTGATCCTCTCTCTTCCCCAACCCATCACTGCAACAAGAAAAAGGGGGTTCGATTCCAAGTTCAAAAATCAAAATCAAAATCAAAATCATTTGATTCCGCTAATAAGCATTGCCAAAGTACCTATGAACGGCTCTATGCTGGACGGAAGCGAGACGGTGGAGTAGATTGCTATGAGAACTTTCAGTAGGAGAGAAGAATCGGAAAGCGATGAACATGGAAATCCCAAGTGCCAAAAGGAAGGCCATGACTATCTTGGAAAGCTTGAATGTGGACCATTTCCGGCCCTGAGACTTCATGTATTTCCCTTTCAACACGCCATTAAAGAACGAAGAAGCTTCAGAAGAATCAAACCCCGATTCCGATAAGCTGCTACTTCTGAAATTGAAACAAAGATTAATATATAAAACGGGGTTTGGGCGAGGCTTGGCCATGCAGGAAATTGGGGGGGAATTTTTGGTGGGTAATCTGGATTTGTACGCGCCCACAGGGAGATCGAAGAACGAGGAACTGAATTAATGGGTTTCGGATTTTTCTGGTTTTGGGAGATGTAGACATAACTGTTATGGTAACGACAGCTAACATGCTCTTTATGTAAATAAGAATATAAAGATAAAAGATGGTGGAACCCATATCACATCGAACAGAAATCTAACCGAAATAACTGATATAAGAGATATTGTACATTACTACATATCGTCATCATCCTCACAGTTTTAAACCACGTCTATTAGAAAGAAGTTTTCACACCTTTATAATATTTCGTCACTGTTATATCTCACCAAAATGTCATACTTAGCAAATGGAAACTTGCAACCGTGGACTCTAATGAAATTGGTCGGATAGAACACTGAATACTATTAAAGCTGATAGGGTGAAGTTATTTATTCACCATGTTATAACGTATATAGATCAAACCCCACCGACCAACGACCAACGAACTTCAAGATGGTCGGCCGAACATTCCCATAAAATGTTCAAACCAAATATAATGCAATAGAAAAGTGAGATTTGATTCTAAATCACCCTAGGGGTTTGTTTATATGATCAAATTGCAGATTGCAAACTGTAACAACTACACCGAACTTGTTCATCTAAAGGGGAGAAAACAGGAGAATTAGAATTAGACATTCAAGTACACCATGAAAGGTGTGGATGGATGGAAGGATAAAAACTTCTGAAGAGTTTGCTATCACCTTTACAGTATGGTGCATACTACAACCACAGAATTAGCTAACACAGTGAAGCGAAGATTGCTGGCGTTGCAGCGGTTGATATTGTACATTTATCTACCACATACTTTGCAGTCACGTCTTGTCTCGTCTCGTATGTTAACTCTCATTCAGGAATCTGATCGTAATCTCCGTTTTCGGGAGAATGATGGTCTGTTCTTCCTGCACAAAGAAGTTCCCAACCTCATAAAAACACAAGTTCGGAAAAAGGAAACGATGAACGGATTGAGTGTGCCTGTGTACCTGTAAAATCATAAGCAGTGGTGGTGCCATCCAGACCTGTTCTCCAGTTGGATCGAGGAGATGTCAGGTTCACTCCCCGGGGTTGAAGCAAGAAATGACTCTCCCCGATACCTTGGTGCTCATTGTTTCCCCCGACTTGATTACCTCCCAAGTCGATGTTCGAACCATAGCGTAGACCTGACATCGATGTCCCACCAGTGGGTGAGGACAACTTGCCAGCAGATGTATCGCCTTTAATCCCACCACCAGCTTCCTTTGTCGGGTCGATTATGAAAGTACCAACAATAACCTGAAATGGACGGATCCGTACAAGAATGAACTAAGCAAAAGAATAATACATCTAAAACTCTTTATGCAATAAAACATTCAAACATTGACTGAACTTCTTAGGGTAAAGACGAGAAAAACAATCTGTTGGTTACGGTACCTGCACGGGTCCAGCAGCCATCAACGGTCCACCAACTCCCCCTCCTATGATATGGCCATCAGCACTCGACAAACATACGCTAAGACCACCAGTCTTTCCTCCAATATCAGTTCGTACATAAGATCCACATAACGAAACAATCTCGAAACGGCCCTAATAGTAACATTACAATGCAAATAGTTATAATAATGCATTCATAAGCAAACTTCGGGAAGGAAAAAAACAGACATCATCATCCAAATGAGTAGCCAGTTATCTTTTGTCCATTTTCCGAAACAGTCCACAAAATATATCAACAACTCGATAAAATCATCCACGATTGCTACAAAGCATCATTCTTGTTATCGTTTCTTCCACACACCAAGGAGGAAGAGCTACGACATCAAATAGGGAGAACAAAAATACCTCATATGTAACATTGCCACCGGATGAGGACGGCTGACGGAGAGATGCATTGGAGACCAAACCAGATGCGGAAAGGATACAGATTTCCCGCTTACATTGTTGCATAAACAGCATAATTTTCTGGCCCACGTCCTATTCAATATGACCGGAGTGTGCGTTAGGAGGGTAAAGAGGACAAGGGATACAGCCATAGCTCATCAGGCATATAATATAGAGTATACATAAGTAAACCAAAACGAAGCAGAAATCAACAATGTGATTTTTGTACACAATGTGACAATCAACTATGGAAGACGGGATAGAATTAAAAATTCATCTGCATGTGGTTTCTGTAATATCCTTTGATTTGGGTGTTTCTTATCATCCTTACTATTCCTTCACTTTCTCAACAAAAGGTTTGCTACTCACAAAAACAAAAACAAAAACTTCATGAAGAACACACCAATGACAAATAGTCTATCAAGAAACAGCCCATATCATCTCCTTGGAGATTCTCATATTTCTCTCGCCTTGCCCCCAAAAGGATAGATACATGACATGTTGAGAATGAAGTCTTGGGCATCTCTAGGAAGGACCACCCGTGTGATAGCCCAAGCCCACCGCTGCAGATATTATCCTCTTTGGGCTTTCCCTTCTGAGCTTCCCCTCAAGGTTTTAAAACACGTCTGTTAGGAAAAGGTTTCCACACTCTTATAAGGAATGTTTGGTTCCCCTCTCCAACCGATGTGGGATCTCACAACCCACCTACCAAACTCACCGAAGAGGTTCGACCTACGAGCAATAGAAATACACTGTTCACCAAATACAAGCGATATACTGAAACAAGTGATTTGCATCTCTGCTCAAATTTGCACTAGGATTGCAACCCGAAAGAGAGTATAATGATTCCTCTTTCGGAATAGATCCGTTATTGATGCCTCCAAGAAAAAGAGTCACAACACCTAATAAACCTTCTCCTGACCTTCAAAATTCTAGATTGTTTGGCAGAAGAACTTTGGGAGATGATAAAATCATTAGCAGCCAGGTTGTTGAACAATGACTTGACGAAAAAAATGTTCCAACCTTTAAGTATAACCACGTCCTAGAATCGCTCGGAGTAAAGGACCTTGCTCCAGATAGCCATACACCCTTCAACCTCTCTATCATTAAGGTTTCCCATGAACTTAAGCCGCCAGCCAACCACAGCTCCACTTTCCTAAAACCAAATCAGAAACCTGCCTGAACCCTCTTCTCCTTGTTACTGGACAGAAAACTTATCGACACGAATGATGGGGAAAACAAGAGATGCTTTTTTAAAATGGGCTTCTCAACCAGCTAAATTAATACAAATCCATAGAGAAACAAAAGAATGAGTAGTTGATACCAAAAAAGTAGCTATAATCACATAGAGATCACATCAACACGCAGAAAAAAATCTCCACAATAGGACCAAAGTAGATAACCACAAAACAAATACAAAGACCTTCCTTTCAGGAGAAGACTGTAAACGAACCGACATCAGAAATATAATCTTTTAAATTTTGATTTTTATCCCTTATTTCAATTCGAACTTTAAAGTTTCCCTGTTTGTATGCAGCATATTATTCTGTCAGAAAACGAAAATAACCACAGTGGATGTTGCAGATTAGCCTGGCACTCTCTTACTCATATGTGAATTCTACCAAAAACCATGTGATACACATACCTTACACATGTTCAAGAACATAAATCTATTACTTCCTTTGTGTGTGCATAAGTACACGAACATGTGTGCCGGTATGTGAGAGGGGTACTAAGAAACCGTCCTCATCTGCAAGACACCTTTTAATTGAGACTTGGCATAAAAGAAACGGAACGAGAGAAGAAATATATTCTTTTAATAATGTACCTGAGTAACTATTTTTTCAATCCCTCCAATATTCCAAATTACCATGTCTATTAAGAAGCCAAGAAATAATCTTGTTTTGTGTTACTCCCTGACAAGAAGTTAAGGAATAACCTGCACCAAGAGTATTATCTTATTCTTCTTACTTTTTCTGCACTCTAATACACCCCAATCATTTCAAGTACAATAGAACCACAATTAGAACTAGATCCATTTCATTATTAAGATGAGAAAATTCATGGGACCAAGTGGTAGCTCGAAGATTCTCGATACCAAAGTCTCAACAATTTTTGTCTCTTTATTCGGAAGGGGAATTTCACTTTTTTTGTAATTTCATCTTATCAATGAAATATTATGTTCCTTATCAAGAAAAAAAAATCTCAACGATGATTGTCATGGATTTAAATTAAAGTGCGTAGCCACTGAATAATAAGTAGTAAATCAAAAGAGGAGAAAACAGAAGCAGAGAGAAAAAACAGAAAACCATCTGCAGAACCTCTATAAGTGGACACTATGCCCCATCAGAGTATGAAAACTTAACCAACTAGTGCTTCGGGCTGGCCCGTTCCTTTTAATTTGAAGCATTAAACATTTGATCTTTCAAAGAACATAAAAACATCAAATGCAAAGGCAATAGGTCTGTAATAGCCCAAGCCCACCGCTAGCAGATAAAAAATGTTTCGTTCTCCTCCCCAACCGACGTGGGATCTCACAAGGTCTGTAGTTTACCGGAACATAAACTGTTTTGAAAGAAAAAGACTCAGGAAACTAAACTAAGAAGCTATCGACTGTAACCATACGTTTTAAAAACTCGGAACCCAGATACAAACTAGAATTCAACAGAAAAGGGCATTCAAGATCATAGAAATTTTTATGAGAACCTTAATGGTCTTGCTGTCCTATCGCAGCACCGTCATACTAGATGATATATCAATACCAGGACAGCATAGGTTATGCCCCATATTGAGAAGTGGTGACTTAGTTTGCTAATTCTTTAAAGCTAGCATTTCAAATGCATTAATTGTATATGACCCACAATTTCTAGCTATATCATTGTATGCGTTTATGCAAATGCCTGCACGTCACATGCACTTCCAAGTACATCAGTATAAATGGAATCAAATCTTTGGAAAACTATGGAGAATGCATTACCTCACCAGCTGCCACATCAATAACCTGTGGCGCAAAACCTTGGCCTGCATTACCTACATATCCAGTGAGAAGAATAAACTCCAAGTATTCGAGCACATAGTCAAAAGTGAAACAAAAACGAAAAGTAAATGAAAATAAAAAAGAAAGAAACAATTGCCAAGACTGGAAACATGTTATTTTAGAACATGAAACCATTACAAGCATACATACAAAATTGAATAAACAGGGTAAAGCATCTCTTTAAATCTTTTGCTAAAAGACCAAAAGGGAATTAAGGGCTTTTGAGATTAGGGGTTAAAACAAAGAAAACCCAATTCCAAAACCCAGAAATCACCAAAACCACAACGAATTCCAGAACCCTAGAAAACTCCCCAAAAATCCCAACAAGAGAAAAGAAATTAACAACAAATTCCAACACGACAACCCACCAAGTGCAGCCAATTGAGATTTCTTCGAAGAAGCGGAAACGGCATTAAGAGAAGAGGAAGAAACGAGGTCCTTCTTGGCCTTGGAGGAAGAGTGAGACGACGCCGTAGCAGCTTTCTTAGCCGCTAAAGCCTCCTCCGGCGTGCCGTACTTCCGCGGGCGACCTCTCTTCCGGCGACCGGGCTCGAGAGGAGAGGAGGAGACAGCGGCGGAGGGAACCGAGTGAGGGTAAAGGACGTGGGTGGTGGCGTCGGCGGAGGAGAGGTGGTGGGTGGAGGGTAGAAGGCCATTGGTCGGCGATGTGGTGGGACTTTGATGGTGGTGTTGATGGTGGTGGAAGTAGGAGCTGAGCTGGTTGTCATTGGGTTCCATTTTTGAGATGAGAGAGAGAGCGTATGTTTTGGAAAATTAAAATAAATAAATAAAATAAATATAACTTTTTTTTTTTTCCTTTTTTGGGTACATATTATCATTTATCCATAATATTCCTATCTCTCTCATAAATAAATAAATAAATCCGAGTTATATATTTATTTATTTCTAAAACTTTCTTCTTAAACCGGGGCTAGAGGCTCGAGCATGCATCGGTTAGCTAGCAAGAACGAATTGACTTAGCTCGCTTGTTGCGGGAAAGCCAGTGATGCACAACCATAAGTCCGCTACCATCAAAAGTGCGATTGTTACATATATTTTATCTACTAAATTATATTTATTAAATTATATAATTTATGCAAATAATCGTTTTCTAAGTCAGACAAACGTTAATTTAGCATTAGGAATATTCAAATGACTCGAGAATTCGACTACTCAACATGAAGGTGAATAAGCATGATTTTTTTTAAATAATTAAAAAAACAATCCGACAAACCAACTTAAAAATAGAACGTTGGGTTGGGTTGTGAATTTCTTTCAAGTTGTTCGAGTCACCAACCTAACCAACCCTAAATTTTGAGTGGATCTAAAAGATTTCTCCAACTCAAATATAACTCAATCTCGAATATATCTCTTGATACAAAAACAAAACTCGTGATTTCAACAACATTTTATCAAGAGTTTGATATCTTCATCGATGTCAACATTTAAACACCGATTCCATAACTCGATCTTAAACAACTCTACCCCTAGACTAAACAATTTACAAATTAAATAACTTCATAAATGACTTAGTCAGCGCCTAAGAACTCTCTCATATAGACTAAATTGAGACCAACAAGACCACGAGTAATGCTCGCATTGCCTTTTCGGTCGATCTTTTATCACAAGTAAATGTTTGTCAATACAAAAACCTTCCCCTACAAAGAAAAAGATATTCAAAATTGAATCTCCATTGCTTTAGCTTAAAGTAGGTCAATAATTTGTATTTGGAGCTGTGAGACCCCACGTCGGTTGAAAAATGGAACAAAACAATCCTTACAAGGATGTGGAAACCTCTTCCTAAAAGAGTTTTAAAATCGTGAGGCTAACAGCGATAAGTAATGGACCAAAGTGGATAATATCTACTAACGATGAGTTTTGACCGTAATAGGAGCGGAGAGGTTGCCAACTTTTAGATATCTAAAACTTTTGGGGAGCCAGGAGCAAATGTGAGTAACCCTAAAGTGTAATTTGGAGGGTTGTGTCAAAAGCTTCACCTTTTCAAAAGCCAACAAAAAAAGTTTAAGGTTAGGTTGGAACCATTGTCATTGGGGGCCAGCTGCAAATCTAGCAATAATTTGGTCAAAAAGTGCCAAATGAAAGGAGGAATATTGAACTTTTTTCGTTTTTCTAAACATGAATCCAATGGGATAGAAGACCTATGGTTAGTTTACAAGATGATAACACTCTCGAACGATGAGTTCGAAAAGGATTTTGAGAATAACGTTATATGTTTGAGAGTGGTTTTATCTAAAGGTCTTTTGCTACGTTATCGAAGCTTTAGTAGGGAGTCTTGGGCAAGTGTGAATAGTTCTTTTTCGAGGCTTTTGGTGTACGTTAGGCTTGTAAAGGTCGTACTGTTCGAAGGTTAAAAGTTTTAATTTCATCCATTGTTGTTTTGGAAGAAGAAACAAAATTAGATGGGCTGAGAGTTCTTAGGTAGGTGACCTTGATATGAACCAAAAGATGCAATATGTACTTCAACTAAGATGGATTTCATACATTTTTAAACGGTTACAAATTTAGGGTAGATCATAATCTAGTGTTATGATGTTGCATTAATGTATTTTAAGACCTTTTATTTACTTTTAGGTTAAATTTACATAGTCGCTAATTATGGTCATAAAATGTGAGATCCCACATCAGTTAGGGAGGTGAACGAAGCATTTTTTATAAGGGTCTGAAAATCTCTCCCTAACAGATATGTTTTAAAAAACCTTGAGGGAAACCCCAAAGAGGATAATATTTGCTAGAAGTGGGTTTGGGCTATTACAAATGGTATCAGAGCTAGACATCGGGTGATGTACCAGCGAGGAGGTTGAACCACGAAGGGGGTGGACACAAGGCAGTGTGCCAGCAAGGACGCTAGGCCCCGAAGGGGGGTGGATTGGAGGTCTCACATCGATTGGAGAAGGGAACGAGTCTCAGCGATGACGCTAAGCCCCGAAGGGGGGTGGATTGTAAGATCTCACATTGGTTGAGGAAGAGAACGAATCATTCTTTGTATGGGTGTAGAAACCTCTCCCTAGCAAATACATTTTAGAAACCTTAAGGGGAAGCTCGAAAAAAAAAAACCTGAAACCTCTCCCTAGCAGATGCGTTTTAAAAACCTTGAAGGGAAGCTCGAAATGGAAGACCCAAAGAGAACAATATCTGCTAGCGGTGGGTTTGGGCCGTTACATAAAGTATAAAGGGTTACAACTCTAAAATGTCTCATAGAAGGTCAAATATTTTATTTTGATGCTATATAAAGCCACAGGTATGTTGTCTCTCGAAAGGAGACTTGGAAAATGTAGTAATAAGATCGTTTGTGCTCTTCTTTTAGCCAAGGACTAAGCTTCTTTTCAGTTCTATACATTTTAGGTTGCATGTTTAGAATCATTCGAGCTTGACATGATCAATCTTGTTTGTGGAGTAATTCGAATCTCAAATAAGTGTACATACCGTGAGATATTCGATCAACAAGGTAATCCATATCTTACTTTCCCTTAAGGTAATTCCTTATCGTTTTGAGGTTCTTGAATATATTCAGATCTAAAGATATTATTCTTCAATAAAGTTGCTAGATCAAATTCTCAAGAGTTGCAATCATTTGGTATGAAATCAAATTGATTAGGGGGGTTTTGCATTTGAAATCAACTTATGAAGAATATGGCAACTTCAAAAAAAGATGGCACATGGGGTGTGAGATCCCATAATGGTTGGGGAGGAGAACGAAACATTCTTTATAAGAGTGTGGAAACCTTTCCCTACCAGACGCATTTTAAAAATCTTGAAGGGAAGCCCGAAAGGGAAAGGCCAAAGAGGACAATATCTACTAGCGGTAGGTTTGAACTGTTACAAATGGTATCAGAGTCAAACACCGGGTGGCGTGCCAGTGAGGACGTTGAGCCCCAAAGGGGTGGATTGTGAGATCCCACATCGGTTGGAGAGGGGAACAAGTGTCAGCGAGGACATTGGGTCCTGAAGGGGGTGGATTGTGAGATCTCACATTGGTTGGAGATGGGAACAAGTGTCAACGAGGACGATGGACCCTAAAGGGGGTGGATTGTAAGATCCTACATTAGTTGGGGAGAAGAACGAAACATTATTTATAAGAATGTAGAAACTTCTCCATAGCAGACACATTTTTAAAACCTTGAGAGGAAACCCGAAAGGAAAAGCCCAAGGAGGACAATATCTGCTACGGTGGGCTTAGGTCATTACACAACGAGTGCCAGCAAAGACGCTGGACCCCGAAAGGGGGTGCATTGTAATATCCCACATCGGTTGGGGAGGAGAACGAAACATTTTTTATAAGAGCGTAGAAACCTCTCCCTAACAAACACGTGTTAAAAACCTTTAGAGGAAACTTGAAAGGGAAAGCCCAAGGAAAACAATATCTGCTAGCGGTGGGCTTGAGCGGTTACATGAGGGTTTCAGCAAAGGAGATTATAGTTATGTTATTTCCATGGCACGTGTACGTTTTCAGTTTCATTTTCGAATGTACACTAAAAACATTACAGCAAAACTAGAACTAAAGTGAGAGTTATCAAAAGCAAACAATGTCAAAGAATCAAAGGTAAAAAGATAGATGATCCTCATACAATTCAACTTTTTAACGTTCATAGCGTAAGATCTTCACATACCTTTAAGGAATAAGATATCACTTTCTTTTTCTTGGCTATCATATAGAAAATCCATCAACCTCCTATGTGCAACTCAATTAGTCCTTCATACCTTATCGTTTTCCTCCTCGTCATCAGTGGTATCCTTGATAGACGTTGCTGTGACGTTATGCGAACTTCTAAGTCCTACCAACTGCAACATGATATACTTATTCATTACATATATTCTTAACAACGTGCAATAGTATCGAGTCGGATAATTTCAACGCTACCTCTTTACAGGTTTCCTTGTGGGTAGCTAAAAGCTCGTCATACTTGACTTGCAAATCCGCCATCTCGGATTGTAACTGCTCGTATTCAGCTATAGATGGACCGCCTAGTCTTTGTTGGATAAATCTGTGAGAGTAAAAGAAAAGATGTCTATCAATAGTGCTTCCTATCGGAATGTGCTATCTTGGAAAGTTCTGTATGATTTCATTCTCTTCAATAAAATCATTCATTTATTTTTAAAAAGGAAAAAGAAGAAAACTACACTTTTTGAACATTTCAAATTACAAGCAAAAGTAAATGATAACTTTCACTTTCTAGTTGAGAATATGTAACGGCCTAAGCCCACCGCTAGCAGATAGTTCTCTTTGAACTTTCCCTTTCGAGCTTCCCCTCAAGGTTTTTCAAACGCGTATGTTAGGGAGAAGTTTCCACACCCTTATAAAGAATGTTTCGTTCTCCTCCCCAACCGATGTGGGATCTCACAATCCACCCTTTTGGGACCCAGCGTCCTCGCTGACACTCGTTCTATAATGACCCAAGCCCACCAGATATTGTCCTCTTTGGACTTTCTCTTTCGGGTTTTCCGTCAAGGTTTTTAAAACGCGTATGCTATGGAGAAGTTTTCACACCCTTATAAAGAATGCTTCGTTCTCCTCCCCAACAGATGTGGGATCTCACAACCCTTATAAAGAATGCTTCTTTCTCCAATCGATGTGGAACCCCTCCAATTCACCCCCCTTCGGTGCCCAGAGTCCTTGTTGGCACACCGCCTCGTGTCCACCACCCCCTTCAGGACTCATCCTCCTCCCTGGCACATCGCCCAGTGCCTGGCTCTGATACAATACCATTTGTATCAGCCGAAGCTCACAGCTAGCAGATATTGTCCTCTTTAGGCTTCCCCTCAAGGTTTCTAAA